GACATCACAACAACCTAAGATGTATTGTTTTTCTTTTTGTCACAAGTAAACAAGAGCTTTCAAAAGGAGGCATGTGTGTAAGAAAAGCGTTAACCTAGAAGGCTTGCTTGCAAGCTTGGTCTTGGTCTGACTTTTGGAAACTGTGGGAACTTTTCCGGGCTCACTGTGTCTGAGCTATGTAAATAGTATCATGTATGTTAAAAACCTGCTTTCTATGTCTGGAATTTTGATACATGCTAGGCAGAGGATGTTTATATGACTAGCTCCCAGTAAAAATTAAATAGATAGATAAATAACCTCTAGTGTTGAATCTCTACTGGGTTTCCCTAGGCAGAAACATATACACACATTCCTGAATTTTCATAGATGGGGTAAGTGTGCTCTGTGTAACCCTCTTGAGAGGGAGAGAAAGCAGCACATGGATTCCTCAAGATTCCATCTGTCTTTCCTCCTAAGATCCACTATATGTCCTAACTACATCACTGTGAGAAATCTTAGCTGTGAGTGCAATTATATGCCGAGTCCCATAAGACCTTCTAGCAAATCTCCTAACATATGGGAGGTCTTCAGGATCTCCAATATACATACTATGAATATTTATCTATAAATATTTGTAGAATAACTAAAAAAAATCAACCCATCAAGAAGTTCAAGTATTAATGTCCTTATTCTGTGTTTGTACAATGATTTTTTTGTAACCTAGGCTTGTTTAACCCAGTTTGTTCTCTCACTGTATTTCTCAAATTCTTAAACTTGGCTCTGAATTCCTTTTGACTTTTACCTTCAAATGACAGAGATGTGTTAGAGCTACTAGCCCTAAGGCAGTTTTAAATCATGAGATCCAAAAAGAATTTGAATAATGGTAGAAGTCCTTGGAATGTTTATCATGTCCCAAGGTGACTTTTTTTTTCTTTTATCAGGTGAGGACTTATTTGATTGTACAGTTTCTAGTAAACTGAAAGTATACCACATTATTGTATCACTATACCCTGATGCAAAATTTCTTTTATCACATTAAAAATGCATTCATATTTATAACCACCACAGACTAGATTTTTTTAATATAATGTATGTTAGAAAAATTCTACTCAAGGCTTACTTTAAAGGATTTCTTTTTAAACAATTAAAAACAATTCCTATCACCCAAAGCAGTGATAGTGAAGGCAAAGATAAACAGCTGGGACTACATCAAATTAAAGAGCTTCTGCACAGCAAAAGAGACAATAACAAAAACAAAGAGAAACCCCACCAACTGGGAGAACATTTTTGCACACAACACTAATGATAAAGGATTGATCACAAAAATCTGCAAAGAGCTGATGAGACTCAACAACAGCAAAGAAAATAATCCAGTCAAAAAATGGGCAGAAGAGCTAAAAAGAAACTTCTCCAAAGAGGAAATGCAAATGGCCAACAGGCATATGAAAAAATGTTCAACATCACTTGTAATCAGGGAAATGCAAATCAAAACTACCATGAGATACCATCTTACACCAGTGAGAATGGCACATATTAAAAAAACTAGCAACAACAAATGTTGGCGAGGGTGTGGAGAAAAAGGAACTCTTCTGCACTGTTGGTGGGAGTGCAAACTGGTCCAACCACTATGGAGAGCTGTGTGGAGATTTCTGGACCTACTAAACATAGAGCTTCCATATGACCCAGCAATTCCACTCCTAGGTATTTACCCAAAGGACACAGAAACATCAATTCCAAAGAGCACCTGCACCCCTATGTTTATAGCAGCACTATTTACAATAGCTAAGCTTTGGAAACAGCCCAAATGCCCAAAAATAGATGACTGGATCAAGAAGATGTGGTACATATATACCATGGAATATTACTCAGCATTCAAAAAAGATAAACACATGCAATTTGCAGCAACATGGATGGCGCTGGAAGGGATCATGCTCAGCGAAATAAGCCAGAAAGAAAAAGAAAAATACCGGATGGTCTCACTCATAGCAGGAATCTAGAAAACTTAAATAAGGGACCAGGAAAATGCATAACTATAAGAAAGTGAAAATCAGAATCAACAAAAATCTATGAACCAGAGACACTTTTGGGGGGTGGGTGGAGGGAGGGGAGGGATTGGGGTCAAAATGGGGGGGTTGAAATTGTATGGGGAATATAAAAATAAAATTTATTATAAAAAAAATTCAATATTAAAAATATTAGAAAAGAAAGAAGGATGCATAAGCAAACAATGACAGGAAGTAGCTATTACAAAAGGAGCAATGAGGACAATGTAGTAACATAAGAAATGTCTGTAACTTGAAAAAAAGGAGGTTGAAAAAATGTTTATAGAATATAATTACAACCAAGAAAAACCTGTGTGCAGAGAAAGCATTACAAGTTATAAGTAACTCCAAATAATAAAAGTGGTAATGTTGGCATGTAAAAAAAAAAATAAAACCAATTCCTGATTTTTAAATGAGCTTCAGATCTTCCCTGAGGAAGCTGTAACCAGCCAGGAAATCCTTGGATTTCTTAGGTGCTTGCTTCATCTTCACTTTTATAAATTCCTTGGAGTTCTGGCCTTTCTTACTAACTGGCAGTGGGGTATCTCTTTTGGACAGTTCCCCTTAGACAGGCTTTGTATTGCCTTTCTATCATCTTTGGCTTACTCTGGGCTAAGGTGGAATTGTAAAAATGATGGCTTTCCTGCTTCCTGCTTGTAGCCTTTCATAATAGCCTTTGTTGTGATCCAGCTGATAAAAAGCACTCGTTCTGAAGCATGGCTGGGCTTAGTTTTGATCATTATTTCTTGTCTAATTGGAAATTTAGTTATAAATGGACTTCATTATAGATGGTTCTTGGACTTGTTAGTATTCAGCAACACAGCCGTGTCCCAAGAATGAGCCATTTTGCTAGAGCAATCTTCATAAACCATTTTCATTGTTTCATTGCTTTCCCATTTTTTATTTTTCTCTTTTCCCCTCTCATCATGTTGGCTAACTCTTCCCCTCAGAGGGACGTAAGTATTTATATTAAAACTTATTGCTCTTGCAAGATGTTTTGTATTTCTTGTTCATAACTTGAAAAGCAAATGAAATCTCTTTACTGTATTTCTCCGTTTATAGTACATTACAGAACTGTGGACCTTACTATGTGTGTCTAGATTCTTAGCAGGAAGATGGCTTTCTTTGATGCAGTTTAATTCTGATGGTCCAGTGGCTTGAATGAAATGTACATTTTCTATTGCTGATGTGAGTCTACTTAGAATAGGCTTGATACCAACCAAAGTTCATTTCTAATTAAAGTGTAGGTCATTTGGAAGCTAGACTACTAACCCACATCATGCACAAAAACCACCTCAAAATGGAATAAAGAACTGAATAAAGACATGAGACCTGAAACCACAAAATATATAGAAGAAAAAATAGGCAAAACACTCCATGACATACACCTCAGTAACATCTTTAAAGGCACATCACCAATAGCCAAAGATAGTGAAGGAAAAGAGAAACATCTGGGACTACATCAAATTCAAGAGATTCTGTATAGCAAAAGAGACATTAACTAAAACAAAGAGACACCCTACTGATAAGGAGAAAAATTTTCACACAATACTAATGATAAGGGGACTAAGCACAGAGATCTACAAAAAGCTGACAAAACTCAACAAAAACAAAGTAAACAAGCCAGTCAAAAAATGAACAGAAGAGCTAAAAAGACATTGCTCCGAAGAGGAAATGCAAATGGCTAACAGGCATATGAAAAAATGTTCAAAATCACTTGTAATAAGGGAAATGCAAATCAAAACCACAATTAGATACCATCTTACACTAGTGAGAATGACTTGTATCAAAAAAATTAGCAACCACAAATGTTGGCGAGGATGTAGAGAAAAAGGAACTCTCCTACATGGCTAGTGGGAATGCAAACTGGTCCAACCTCTATGGAAAGCTATGTGGAGATTCCTCAAACTGCTAACAATGGAGCTTCCATGTGATCCAGCGATTCCACTCCCAGGTATCTACCCAAAGGATACAAAAACATTAATTCAAAATGATACCTTCACCCATGTTTATTGCAGCACTGTTTACAATAGGTAAGCTGTGGAAACAACCCAAATGCCCCAGAATAGATGACTGGATCAAGAAAATATGGTACATGGGCCTCCCTGGTGGAGCAAGGGGTTAAGCACTGCACTATGAAGCAATCCACAGCCTCTGCAGCACGAGTTCTATCCCCGGCCAGCCAGGGAGAAACCCATATGGCAAGGCAGACCTCTCCTTTCTCGCCTGCTGCTACCCTCAGCAGTATATTTTGGTCGGTCTGCCTGTTCTGTTCCCCACCCTGTCTCTGGTAGATCCTCTCAACCCCTGCATCTCTGGCCTGTACCCCAGCTCTTGTATGCATAAATAAACAAATCTTTAAAAAAAAGGTGTGGTATATATACTCAATGGAATATTACTCAACAATCAAAAAAGATAAACTCATGCCATTTGCAGAAACATGGATGGAACTGGAAAGGATCATGCTTAATGAAATAAGCAAGAAAGAAAAAGAAAAATATTGGATGGTTTCACTTATAGGAGGAATGTAGAGGATCCAAATAAGGGATCAGGGAAAAAAGAGTAATTATAATAAAGTATAAATCAAAATCAGCAGGTAACTGTAAACCAGAGGCATTCTACTGGAGGGGAGAGGGGAGTAGGATCAAAACAGGGGTGGAAAGAGCACAAGGGATTATGGTGATGGTACATGGGTGAATTGGTGGTGGGAATCTCATGGGGACTATACCCGAGACAAGAAAGCATATATTGTGCAAAAATGAAGAATGATATAAAAACATATAAAATAGTAAAAAATAAAGTATAGGTCATTCATGTAGGACCTTGTATTTAGAGGACCTGCTTTATGAAATGTGTTGTAAGTTTTACTGGTGTTTATGTCACTAAGATTTAAAAGAAAAGTTCTTGAAGCTGCATGTAGCACCATATCCTGCATTATTACATCATCTACAGTGTGAACTTGGATTTTTTCTTTTCTAGTTTTCCAGAGAGGTGGTCTTTTAGAGCCTACACATCTGTTCTGTATTTTGAGCCCTGGATGAGAATATTCATTCAGGCCAAAAGAGTTCAGACAAAGCACCTGTGTTACTCCCTCTACAGCCCCAGGTAACTCACCTTACTTCAACTTTATAAATAAAAACAGTTTTTATTTCTAAAACCAATGTGCTTCTCTCCCCCAAAATTATCAGTCACATGTAACAAATATTTGACCACAAATAGCAACACATTGCAATAAACACTAAGTTAGCCACCCCAATTAGGAGTTTGTTAATGAATCTTAGGTACTTTGATTATGATAGATTCCCCTGAAAGATCTTAATTCACTTATATCTCATGTTAATGCAAAATATATGAATATGAAGTCACACTCATGTACGTGTGTGCATATTTTATATATTGAACAAACATTCATAAATACCTGGTTTATTTTTACTTACCTTTTATATGTTTTGCATAATTAAACAACTTATTTGCATATTATAAATCTTACCCAATTATGCATGCAATCAGAACAGTCATTTTTTAATGTGTGTGTATGATATCTAAGTGGTCACTTATTCACTATGTATCAAAATCTTCTGAGTCTGAGGTTGGGTTAGGTCCAAAGCATTAAAAAATGGTAAGAACAGTTCTAGTTTGAGTTGCCTAATATCTCATGGGAGATTTAATGCTATACTCTGTGTGTGTATATTTACATGTCATTTGTACTCTGTCTACTTGTGTGTATTTGTATACACACAGAGACAGATACACACATATGCCTTTTTACATGCATTACTTTGTTTGATTTTTGCAGTGACCCTATGGGTTATGTTTTATTGTTACCATTTAGAGATAAGGAAATGTCACAACTATGCAAGAACTCAAATCTTCTGGCTCCAAATTCTTTACCAGTTCAAATTCCATGCACCTTTCCCTATTCCACACTGCCTATCTTAGGCTTCCATTGGCCATGTCTTACTTTTATGAAAGAAGCAGTTGCTGTCCTGGAGTCTAATTAACTAATGGATTAATTCTTACCAATATTAATTAAATATCAATTAAATTATTATGTGTCTTGATCACATGCCAGTGGATTTCTCAAAAGCTTTACTTTAGAGATCATATTTGGAAAAATAAAGTATACCAAGCCTTGATTTTCTCTATAAATCTGTCTATTCATTCCCTAATAAAAAAAATGATGCTTCCTTTTAATCAGTCTCTTTCTTCTGGGAAGTACCAGGGATCTTCTGGAGCAATCATTGTAGCTGATTTTTTCAAATTAAATTATTCCTCTTAATGAGTTTGGTTACAAAAGTGGTTTAAGCACATAGAAAAATGTAGTGTAGTCTTTATTTTCTGAGGTAATTATAATAAATTGCATTTTGTCTTTCTAAATTACTTACATTGATTAATGACTTTCCCATTCTAGTGTATTTTTTATTTCACCTTTCCAAGTGATATTCTTATGTATATATTACCAGGAAGTAGGTATACTGTAAATATATGTTTTGTTCCTTAACAACTATTTAAGGAGGCTTGAATCCTCCCCAGATTTCATTATATGGCTCTCAATTTATTAAATTTTATATTTGATATCTGCTGTGTGGACAGATTTATTTTTTCATCTCCCTCTCTTTCCATTCACCCTATGTACTTGCATATCATTTCCCGCATCGATTCTCTGGTAGCAAAAGTTGTGTATAAGAATTATGTGGTGGACCTCCCTGGTAGAGCGGCAGTTGAGTGCTGGGCTGCAAAGCTGCCCGCAGCCTCTGCAGCACCGGTTCAATCCCCAGCCGCCAGCGAGGGTCCCACATGGCCCACAGACCTCTCCTGCTGTGCCCGCTCTTCCCCTCAACAGTGTATTTCATCAGTCTGCCTGTTCTGCTCCCCGCTCTAGCTCTGGTGAATTCTCTCACCCTCTCGCGCTTCCGACTGTACCCAGTGCTTGTATAAATTAATTAATTAATTAATTAAAAAAAAAGAATTATGTGGCATTCCCATCATGTTATCTCAGCCCTACTACGGTAAGTCCTTTCCTGAAGAGCACAATAGCTCTAATGGTTGTAGCAACACAGTAAGTGCTGGGAATGACCCTATTCGACAAATATTTTTTTTTTTTAATTTGTATTTTTCTTATTGTTTTTTTTTTTTAATTAATAAATTTTATTTTTATATTCCCCATACAATTGCAATCCCCCCATTCTGACCCCAATCAAATATTGAGGCATTAAAAGGGTATTAAATACTCTGTGATTTGTACTCTATCCACTTGGCTACCCAAGCTCCAAAAAACTTGTAGAAATTCTCTTAAGTATTATTTATAAGAATTTATAAGAATGTATAACTATGCTTCAGGTCAGTTGTTTTTCTATATTTTTATAGCAAATTAAAAAAAGGTCATTTGATCATGTGGGTGGACATATGCTTTATCTGTTTTACCCATTTTCTAACAAATTCAGAAGAGGACTAGAGAGTAATTTTTGCTATCATATTATTTCTTTCCTTCCTTTTATCAGTAACTTTGAATTAAAAAACCAAACATGAATACTTATTGAAATCATAGTTGACCCTGAACTTGTAGGAATATCTTTTATCAGGCAGAACAGAAAAATATGTGAAAAAGTTAAGTCTAAAAGTTAAGTATAATGTACTTCAAGGACAGTCCTGCATTTTGATTAAAAAGATGTATTGTAGACTTGACAGTGGTAGATGAAAAAATTGTTTTCATTAACTAAAGCTTAGTATAATTGATAGTGTGACAGTTGCTATAAATATTTGTGGAGCTTAGTGGGCAGAATAAGATGGTGTTGGTACCAGTAAACCATATGCTACTCACACCATGTCAGGATGCTAATATTCAGATGGGGATACCTTAGGAGGGAGACAGACTTGCTAGCTCATAGAAATTAGCTGTATGGTAGGGGGTCTTTGATGGAATTGATGATCACTCCAGGAGAAGATTTAGGAGCAAGGTGAAAAATTTCAGAGGCTGTATCTTGGATAGAAGTAGAAGATAGATAATAGAGTTAATACAACCTGAGAGTGTTATGTTATTTTTGCAAGAAAGTGACCTACTGATTACCTTTCTCTATTGGTGTTTGGTCTAAGGATATTCAGAGAAGTCAAGTTGCAAGAAGCATCCCAGCTGCTGTCACCTTCAACTCAGTGTTTCTATGACTGGCATGTTCTGAAGAATTAAAACAACAAACAGCCCAGTGTTGTTCAGGACATACATCAGCTCTATTGCTCTGTCTTTGCTGGGTATACCCAGTACTTGTGGCTCTGAGAGCAGATTTTCCACCATCAAATTCATGAGTGTGTCTGAGATTAATGAAGTTCATGCTTTTTAGCAGTGGAAGGCACTCCCACACAAGACGAGGACAGATTTGTTCCTGGAAGAGTCTAGACTATATAAGGGATTATTACTTTGGGAATAATTTCAGCTAGGTGATTTTTAAGGTCTCATTTAATGCAAAAATTTAATGTCTATAATTTTCGGGTCTTAAATATTGTTTATATACTACAAAGTAGTATATGGCTATACTACTTGATCATAAGAAACATATATTACTGTTTTTTTTTTTACTTTGAATTCTTTTTTTTTTTTTTTTTAAATAGAGGCATGCTTTTTTTATTTATTTGTTTGCTGGTTTGTTTGTTTTGTTTATACATGCACTGGGTACAGTCAGAAGCGCGGGAGGGTGAGAGAATTCACCAGAGCCAGAGCGGGGAGCAGAACAGGCAGAAGGACTGAAGTACACTGCTGAGGGGAGCAGCGGGCGGCAGGAGAGGTCTGCACGCCATGTGGGACCCTCCTTCGGTGGCCTGGGAGCAGCCGGGGATCGAACCAGCGCCGCAGAGGCCGCGCGCAGTTTCGCAACCCAGCGCTCAACCGCTGCGCCACCGGGGAGGCCCTGCTTTGAATTCTTTAACTTTAGTAGAGAAATAACTCATACAGGGATTGGATTGCTGCAGATCAGTACTAAAGAAGGACATAAAATGGTCATTTTGGAAAGCTGTTTGAGGGAGACAGAGCCAAAGTGCCTCTTGGGTGATCCCCATTTTTCATTAACTCTGTTTTATCAGAGACCCGTAGCAATGAGAGGAGCACAAATTACATGAAATTGGAGCAGCATGATCTTATCGGAGCAGCATGATCCTTTTAAAGTTATTCAGGGACTTGAGTTTTTGGTATTCTGTGTTGATACTATTCTGATACTGTTTTGGAGAGTCTTTTCATCTTAAGGGATGTGCCCTGCTCCCTCACATCCCACCACCTAGATAGACTAATAACTAATAATACTTTAGAAACAATACGGAGGTAGAAGCAGAAGCATAGATTTGTAGATAGAGACAAAGCAAATGCAAAATTTGGGAGATGGGTATAGAAAAGATTTTATCCTGAAGAATTAGAGGCCCAGTCCAAGAGGGACTGCAGTTCTTTCAGTTGCGAGGACTGAGAAACAGAGTTTGATGGATTCTTTCCATGTCCTCCAGAGCTTGTATTATCCTGACTCAAAAGGTCCACTAGTGGGGAAAAACAGATTGTATGGCCAATGAAGCTACTGATTTGGGATAGAGATTTGGCTGAAAATTAATTCCATTAAGAAAATCAGCAAAATCATTACACTCAGTTTACTAACATGTATGTATCTCTTGGTTAGCTTGCTTTGTTTGCTACGAACAATTGTAAAATTCATGTTGTAAACCAGTATGAAGATCATCTGGGATGGGCAGATGATCTGGGACCAGGTTATCTCAATGATGCGGAAAAGGAAGAGAGCATACTTTTTGTTTTTTTGTTGTTAAAATTAAGCACCTAATGCAAAAGTGGCACTTTTGTGCTACCTTTACTCTTCAACACTACGAACACATAGTGGATAAGAATGCTTGAATAGTATAATTAGATCATCTTTGAGAGCTTACCATACTGTTCAAAAATTTGTCCTTGATTTCACTTTGATTTTCTAAAAAGATTTTAAAAGAATATTTTAAATTAATTATTTGATTATAAAAACCAATGATAATTCTGGTATAATGGAATTACAGTGATCAATAAGTTTCTACTTGAAGACTTAGGTTTTGCTGCTCTGTAAATGTATATCTAGGTTATGTCCTAACTCGATAATGTTCATTGTAGGAGAAAATCTAGGAGACGAACAGAATTGTTTCAACTTACATTTTATACATATTCCTTTTTGGTGGTTAACTGTTTAACCTTATCTGAAAATGAACATTAAACCCTGTAGATACCATTGTTACCATCATCATTTGCAGATATGGAAATGGAATTAGAGAAAATGAGGTCATTTGCCCAGTCCTCCACTGTTAGTCTCCACCACTTTGAAGGGCACACTTAGGCCTTTAACTGAGGCAGATGGGCTCAGGCAGTCCAACTGATACCCTGAAGTCGTCTGTCTTGAGTATATCTGTATTGCTTCTGTTAAGATAATGGAAGAGAGTCTTAAACAAACTATAAACAGATAGCAGTTAACAAACATTTCAGTTTTGTGTGACCTGTGTGTATAGTGCAGAATATGCATTACTGTTTACACTGCTTGAAAGTCACAAATACAAAGGCCATTCTCCATCAGGCTGTCATTGAAAAGTCATTGCTATTAGCATAGATTTCAGAGGTCAGCAATCCATTTGTGTTAAGGGCCTGATATTCGAGCACATTCAGTCTCTTTGACATACTTATTTTTCCTTTTATTTATTTCCTAATAAATCCTTTAAAATTTAAAAAATCTTTCTTAAGTCCCAGGCTACACCAAAACAGGCCATTGCCCAGTTTGACCCATGGGTTGTGTTTACCTATTCCTGGGAGAGACTAATCTAGTTATATAGGTGTAGGCTCTCCCCTTTGCCTGAGCAAATGCCTCTTTTTATGTGTCTTGAGACAATTTGACAACTTCCTGAGCGTTGAAGATAGGAGAGAATGGTGAATTCCTGTGTCTGTGGGGATTTGAGGTAAAAGTTTTAGAATGAAATATACAGAGCCTTAAGCCTCCTCAAACTGGTAATGTGCTGGGGTTTTCTTTTCCGTGACGATTTAAACCAACACTTAAAATTTTGGGTTCCAGGAATTATCTAGAACAAATACACATGCTTACAACTGCATTCAGAAAAACTCTTACACAAAGATTTTCTCATCTATATTTTCCTCTTGTTGAGGTTGTGTGTCACTATGAGGTTTTATATGTGTGTGTGTGTGTACATATTAGCATAGATTTCATTAAATACCTACACACACTCCACATTCACCCTTTTCCCTTTTTTCTAGAATGTTCTAGAACATCTTTGCTCTCACTCAAGTAATGAACCTTTTAAACAGGCTTCTTGAGGAATAAAGTAGAAAATGTACTTTAGTAGTTTAGAATGATTTATCAGCAATTGTTTCTGAGCATTTCAGTTAGAGATAATTGTTTGGGGACTGGGAGAAGCAGTTAATCTAGTGTCGATGATCTGGATAAGAGGGCTATTTATGTTAAGCAGATACTTTGATAATGGAACAGTTGCATTGAAATTTTTCTTTTTAACAAAATTATCCTATTTTATATGTATAAGTGAACATTTGTGTGGGCAGAAATTTTTCTTATCTCTCTCCTGAAATTCCTCACAAAAACTAAATTTCCAGGTATTAAAAATATTTCTTCTTAGGTATAAAGTTTGCTGAATTACCAGCTAGATGGAACTTACTCAATGATTCTTTCTGAGTAATTATGTATCTCTGGTGCATGTAGTCTACCTAAAGAAAATTCTTGTGTTTTGAGAACCTGACCTATTATGTTATGCTTTATGTTTTCTTTTCAGAAAGTATCTTTATGTCACATCTTCTTTCAAAGGAGCATTTAAAAATGAAGTTAAAAAGGCAGAAGAAGCAGTAAAGATTGGTATGTAATTGCCTATGGCCTACATCATTACTATTCATTTATTCAGGAAAATTAATTGAGTACTTATTCTGAGATATATCCAGCTCTCGGCATTATAGGAATGGCTATAAATAAACAAATGTCCTTTCTACTTTTAAGAAGCTTCATAACATATTCTTCCATCTCTGACTTTAATTATGATGTTATTTATTATATATCATTAAGAACACTTGAAACTAGATTGATCTATGTTAGAAATCTTGGTGGTTATGACATTGACTTAGAATATTTTAGAGACTAGTCTTGCATCTACTTTAAGATTGTTGTTCTCATCCACTCCTCTCAAAGCAAGGACAAAACCATCTTTTCCTAGTGATCCAGGACTGAGAATTAAGTGTATTCATATTTCCTAAGTTTGGAGAGTTTTTGGCTAGCCATATATTCACTCTTTACTCTGGAAATTGTGTGTATATATTTATGCCCTGTAAATAGTCATGGCCAATATAGCTACCTAGGCCTGGAATGCAGGTCTAGGAACTATGCAGGGAATATGGGATTTATTGTGATTATGATCTGTAAGTCATTCTCACTGGTCATGTCTTTATATACATAGAATGAATATTCACTTTAAAATGCTTGAAAGAATCTCATTGTATTACAATTATCTTGCTCCTACTTCTAGCTGAATTTGTATTGAAAGAAACACAAATCAAAGTAAACCAGCCAGACAGAACTTCTTTATCTTCTTCTCCCAAGGTATGACATATAAAAGAGTCTTCTTAAATAGCAAATGGTCTCATTTGTTTCTTCCTATATGTGGTGGTTCTTATTACTTCCTTTTAAAAACAGACATCCTTGGAAGACTAAGTTGATTTTAGTGCAGGTAAGTTAGATGAGTGCAGAGAATGGAGAGGAAACTCAGTAAGTTGGGCAAAGCTAAGATCGAAAGCAAAGATAAAATAGAACATGGGGTGAAATAGAAACAGTGGGGAAGTGCATCACAATTCATTTCTTTAAAATGAAAAGTATTATGAGAAAAGGAGAAAATAATGAAAAGCTGGCAGACTAAACTAGTCTATCAAGTCTCCTTGAAAGTATCTTTTCAAATTACAGCTCCCTATGGACTCAAATAAATGGGGAGCACAAGGAGAACACTAATAAGTAATCCTTCTTTCTAGTGCTAGGAGTTATGTACTATAATTAGGAATATTAATAACAATGCTTCCAGCTTACAAAGCTCTTTTCTTATGGTAGCTCCACATAGTTCATAAACATTCCTCGTAATCCTTGTTCTATGCCCATAAGTAAGATAGGTCATAAAGAACTATTATTATTAATTATAATGTGTGTCTACTAAGAAAAAGAGAATATTGCTATGTACATGCATTAAAAGTTTGCTGACTTTTTCGAAAAATATGGTACAAAGCTTTCTACCGTGGTGGATGCTTCAGCAACATTTATTTGTTGTATGCGAAAGAATAAATAGGTATATGGAGAAAAAATTTTTCATTACATAGTTCCTTCATCTTCTATAGATTTAACATATGAATCATATCTGTGATTTGCCGTTAAATGTTCAAAGACCAAGACTACTTCTGGTAAAGAACTCTCATATCTAACAGTCATAAATAGGGAATGAAGCCAAAGAGTAGCACAGGCTAATGCCCCTGAGCTATCCATGGCTTTCCTAATTTTTTTTTACATTTTTCTTTCCTTTTTTTTTTTTAAAGTTAAAGGTAGAGCTGTCTTATTATTATTGATTACATGTAGTTTTTTTTATATTTTGTTTCCTTAGTTTTATGTATTTGAGAGACAAGAGAAAAAGACTTTTTCTAATGGGTCAGGACCTTGCTTTCTTCTTAACTTTGCCCATTGGCTCTCACTGTCCTTGCTCTGTGCTCTGAGTTCTTTGGCTGGAAGGGTGAGGAAGTCTATGACCAGCTTGCTTTGTTGCTGTGATGCATGTGAGTTTCTTTAAGGCAGGGTAGAGAGCAAACAGAATGACCTCAGCTTCTGACCTCTTAAATTCCTCTAGGCAGTTGAATGGTTGAATTTGAAGTGAAATACTTACCAGCCATTTTGCCACTTTCTTTTGCTTAAATATCCATGAAAATAGTATTTAATCAGTGGTATACCGTATCAAATAAGATTCCCATCTCACACATTCAGTGGAGGAAATGCTTTGAATTTTTTCTTATTTTTAAATAATGCACATATATATATATTTTTGATCTGGTTAGTTGATCATACTAGGAATGGAGAGATGGGGTAGAGAATGAACCAATATATCAAATTAAAATTGAAGATAAAAAAGACAGCACTGATATGGAGACTCTCTCAAAGGGAGAAAGCCAAAGGATCAGGACATATTAGAAAGGAAAATTTCAGGGAGTGTAAGTTAGGGGTATCCGAAACTTGACATAAAGGAGACATTTTCTTTGGCTGCTGACAAAGGTTTTTAATTACTTTTTTTTCTCCTGAATGAAGCTTAATGATTGTGTGAATCAGTATTTTTTGTGCTTACAGACAAAAACCAGTATAAGTACAGTGAATGACTTTCCCAAGCTTTCACATGTTTGCGTGAAATCCATTGTTATCATTACAGGGAGGGAGCATTGCCTCTTTTTCTAAAAGGCCAAGTGGATATCAGAATATTTGCAAAAATGGATGGTGGCCTAGAATTTAGTTTATCTTCTTAGCTACATATTTGGAACATGGAACTTATTTACAGATATTTATTGAGTATCTGCTGTGATAGAAATATACAGGCAGTGTGATCTATCACTGTTATCCTTGTGAAACATTTAGATAATAAGATAATAAATATATGCTCCAGTTTTGTTAATTTAATGTCATTATGTTCTCTCCCAACTAAACATGTTTCTCTAGGATATATTACAGAAAGCTTTGGAAGATGTAGAAGCAAAACGTAAGCTTCTCAGAGAAAAGCAGAGGTAAGACCTAAGATAATCTGTTTGCTAGAATCCTCTGCCATATGTTCAAACAGCTTCTGATTTCTGAGAAGGCAGATTTGGTGGTAACTGACAATTTCTCTTTCTTAGCTGTTGACATCTTTTATTATGCACAGTATGGTCAAAATCCCCCAACCAACATAACCAGTGTTAAATATTCATAAAATATATATTGCATGTTTAAAACCTCTGAATAAAGAGTAATAAATTAGTTCAGAGTCTGATTGATCTTGATGGTGTGAACTCCCCACAGAATCAGCTGGCAACATCATTTTCCTTATGTCCTTTGCCATTTAAACTCTGAGGTCTGGTTATAATTTCTTTTCTCTTATAATACTGCTTACAATTTAAAATAGAAAATGTTTCAAGAAAATGTACCTTTTTTATGTAGTTAAAATAAAAACAGCAAGCTTATATCATATTACCATTATTTACATTTGTAAGGTTGACTGCTCTACAACACAGGTGTAAAACAAGTTAAACTGAAAATCATCACTGCTTCCTGTGTAAGATCAGGCTTTGAAAACTGCCATGACTTTAGAAGCAAATTTTTAGGGAAGTATTACTAGTTTGGGCATTATTTATTGTGAGCCATGAAGTACTATCTAACTAACATTTTCCACAACATTTATTTTTTTAAAAGATTTATTTTATTTATTTATTCATATAAGAACTGGGGTATAGGCCAGAGGTGCGTGGAACAAGAGGATTCACCAGAGGGCCTCCCCGGTGGCGCAGCGGTTGAGCGCTGGGTTGCGAGGCTGCCCGCGGCCTCTGCGGTGCCGGTTCGATCCCCGGCTGCTCCCCGGCCACTGGAGGAGGGTCCCACATGGCGCGCAGACCTCTCCTGCCTCCCGCTGCTCCCCTCAGCAGTGTACTTCGGTCCTTCTGCCTGCTCTGCTCCCCGCTCTGGCTCTGGTGAATTCTCTCGCCCTCCCGCGCTTCTGACTGTACCCAGTGCATGTATAAACAAGCAAACAAACAAACAAATAAATAAATAAAAACATGCCTCTATAAAAAAAAAAGAGGATTCACCAGAGACATAATGGGGAGCGGAACAGGCAGATCTAGTGAAAGACACTGCTGAGGGGAGCAGCCAGCGACATAAGAGAGGTCTGCTATGCCATGTGGGTCAGCTCCCTGGCCGGGAATCGAACTCATGTTGCAGTGGCTGTCAATAGCTTGGTAGCGCTGAGACATTAACTCCTGTACCACCAGGGAGGCCCTTTCCACAAAATTTAAATTTGAAATGTTGCACATCAAAATACTCAATTGAAGTCTTAATTGAAAATGTCTTTTTAAAGTTTTTCAAAAAGAAAAAGTTGACTGATGCTTGCTTGAAATATGAACAACTTGTGTTTTAATAATAATGCCAGCTGGTATGAACTTGTTTTTATAGCAAAATGATCAAAAAAATTATTTTTATACCATTAGTATCCATTTAATATCACAGATTATGTCATGTCCTGTCACATCCTGTTTTGGTTCCCTTATAAGTTAATGATGTTTGTTGCTCAAAAGTTGTGATTAAATGATTGAGTAGATGTTTTTGAATTTAATCTATATATATTTCATCTATAGACACATGAATTTAATCAATATATGCTAACTCATGTCAGTAACTTACTCAGAAAGTCTAATGTACTCTTTATATCCTCAGAGAAGAACTGATGGAACTGTATCATTGTCTTTTAATGATAGATATAATTAAATAATTTAATAATGCCAGTTATAAAAGCACATGATCACGAGTTTGATAAGAAAAAGTTGTTTTGTGGAATGAGGGGAACTATAAGGTGTGTGGCAAGGGAGAGCTATATTTGGCCCAGTCTTGCTCAGGTAAGGAAAATAACATTGGCTAAGCAGCTAATCATTTCCAGGATTATATTTAACATTGTCTCTTTTAGTCCTCATGGCATCCTGAATGGCCAAGTAGCAATTATTCTCATGACTTGTCCACAGTCACATGGCTATTAGTACAAGGATAATCTTGCCCTTGAAGTCAGGTCTAGTTTTACTGGTTCTTGTATCCAGCAACTTTTTAAAACTGCAAGCAACCATCTGTTGTTATGATTTTTTAATCATATTTACTGTTTAGGTTTTTATTTTTATACTTTTGATAGAAAAGTCACACAAAATATAGTAATAGCAGCATAGAGTCTGGCATTTTCTACTTCTTCAAATTTTATTTTTTATTTATTTATTTTTTTTTAAATAGAGGCTTTTTTTTATTTTATTTATTTGTTTGTTTTTTGTTTATACAAGCACTGGGTACAGTCAGAAATGTGGGAGGGTGAGAGAATTCACCAGAGCCAGAGCAGGGAGCAGAGCAGGCAGAAGGACCGAAGTACACTGCTGAGGGGAGCAGCAGGCGGCAGGAGAGGTCTGCGCGCCATGTGGGACCCTCCTCCGGTGGCTGGGGAGCAGCCGGGGATCGAACGGGCGCCGCAGAGGCCACGGGCAGCCTCGCAACCCAGCGCTCAACCGCTGCACCACCGGGGAGGCCCTTCAAATTTTAATTGTTTTTGAATCAAGGAATGCTTCTGTTTGACTGGCACAGTTACTGGTCATTATGTTTACACAAAATACTTAGCTATATGGAAATACTGAGTGTGCCCTCTCAGTGTTCCAACCTACCTGGATAGTTTATATATACTTCCTTTGCTGATTACTTTTGGAGTTTAATTAATAGCAGTTTTATTTAATGGGAACTTTTTTTTTTAACTTTTCCAAATATATCACCAGAGAACTTAAAAAAGCAAGGACAATCTCCCTGTTCTTTGGAGTGAACATAGAAAACCGAAGCCACGCTGGCATGTTCATTTACAGTAATAATCGCTTGATCAAAATGCATGAGAAGGTGGGGCCACAGTTGAAACTGAAGTCCTTGTAAGTATGTTCTTGTTTTCAGAGACACAGGCAGGAAGACGGAGGTTGCAATAAGATTGTGTTTGTGGAGTTAGATGAGTGATTAATCATAATGAGAGCAGGTGTCAGATCCTCCTTTCAACCTTCCCATCAATGTGCTGGCATTAATCTGCCTAATTTGTAATATCAGTGGAGCTGCATGCCTGCTCTAAGGAGAAAGAAGGCACAGTTTAGGGAATTTTTTCAATGCATTTCCTGAGCACTTTGATATTTTCCATTCCTTGCACCATCTATTCAGGTTAACCTTTTAATATTTTACCAATTTTAAAATAATGAAACCATATTAAAGAAATTTTAGAAAAGAAAAAGCCATAGTCTTGTCAAGCAGCCCTGTTAGCATATAGAAGTTCTTGCCAGTTACCCATATGACTGTATACTATTAAACTCTTTCCAGCCAATTGGGATTCCAGATTAATACAGTCTGGTGCTTTCCCCCTGGTCTGAAATGCCATCTACTGCTTTCCTGAATTAGGTAGAGTCCTGGAGAGGGACCATAGAGAAGTCCAGTCAGACAGGATAACCACGACCAGTAGATCAACTCAGGGCCACATTTCTTGCTTCTTCACGATTAAGGAATTATCCAGTCATTCATTTGTTCATTCAGCAAGTACTTTATTACTGTATCATATGCCCAGCGCTGTATTGGCTCTGTAGATAAGGCAGTGAAGAACTCTACTGCTCTTTGAAAGGGCCAGGTACATACATGTGTATGTCTTGAAGCAGTAAGAATGAGCTTTTAAAGCATTAATTTTTTTTTTTTTTTGCTTGAAACCAGTCCTTAGGCTAGGACTGGTATGCATAGCCCTTCAGTGACCTGACCTGTTCCTGGTTCTGTGTCACCCCCACCCTCTCACTGTTGCCCTTATACCAGCAGGTTTCCCACTCCTCAGACACTCTAAGCCTTTCCCTGTCTTAGGCTTTGGCAATTGCCATTACCTATGCTTTGACCCCTCTGTGCTGAGATCTTATCACTGAGGTCTCAGCATGTCACTAAGGCATCTGAAGTCCCCTCCATAGGAAGGTCTTCCTGGACTTAGTAAAATTAGCCCCTGGCATCAGCCTCCACTTCACATATTACAGCACCTGCTTTATTTTCTTCATTCGGTTTCTCACCATTTGAAATCCCCCCTGATGCCTGTCACCTTTCAAAAGAAGGTAGACTTTGTCTCTCATGTTCATTATTACTCTGTTCCTAATTGCTGCAACAGGGCCACTTGTAAGCTTCAATGAGTGAATGAATGAATATGTATTAGAGGCAAGCATCAGATATATGTATTCCAGAAGGTTGGTAGACCAAACCGGGGGATATTATGTCAGACTTCCTGGGGGAAATGATGTCCAATTTAGAGTCATAGAATGACTAGTGTAGATAGAAAAGGCTTGAAGAAGAAAGCGGTGAAAAAGGTGCTAGGCTGGGACTATCAGAGGGGAAGGCTTGATTTGTGTGCCATACCAAGAGAAGCTGTGGCCCTTAAAATGATAGATTTTGTCATGATCTTTCCCAAGGCAGGTTATGTCAATAAGCAGAATATTTCAGCTGTGGACATCATGAGATGCCAAAGAATGTGTGAGAAGATTGAGTTTATCTACCAGGCTAGTAAACTAATGTGTTTATGGGTTAATCCAGCCCTTATGTTCCTTAATAGAATTCACTGAGCATCCCACTGATCTCTGCAAAGATGAGGAGAGATCCTTAGAAGTTTGGGTGAAGAAGGGAACTGTCCAGTCAGTATCATTAAGAGGATCATGTCAGTTATTTACAGGTGTCAATAGTAGTGTTAATGCTAAAAGGCCTCCTCTCCCACCCATTCTGACTCCCCATGTAAGACGACAGGCTTGGAGAGTCATATTAATTCAGTAATGATGTTTTAAAGTGAACTGTATTATGGGACCAAAATCACCTGAGATCATCAGACATTTATATAACAAAATATAAGATAGCTTTCAAACTTTGACATGAATTTATAATTTTTAAATTGCTATCAAAAGGCCAGAGTACATTTAGTTTTTCTTTTTCTTTAGCTAAATTTTATAAATATTATGTATGTTTTTATCCCCCCAGGCTTGGCGCAGGTGTGGTTGGAATTGTTAATATACCATTGGAGATCATGAAACCATCCCATAATAAGCAGGAATTTCTCAATGTCCAGGAGTATAGTCATCTCCTAAAAGTCATGGGGCAGTACTTGGTCCAGTACTGTAAGGACACCGGGCTAAGTGAGTATCCACTAGTCATAGTAAGAGATGCCTTAAAGGGGGATCAACTTGTGTGATGTCTTTAAGTTGGAATGATTACACTGATTTAGGCGCCAATAACAGAAGCCCTGAAAGATTACTTCTGAATTAAAAACAATTTACAATAGCCAAGCTATGGGAACAACTTAAATGCCAAAAGACAGATGAGTGGATTAGGAAGATGTGGTATACATGCACAATGAAATACTCATTTAGCTGTAAAAAAAAAAAAAAGATAAAAACTCTTTACCATTTGCAACAGCATGAATGGAACTGAAGGGGGTTATGCTAAGTGAAAAAGTCAAAAGGAAAAAGACAGATACAGGGTAGTTTTTATTCTATGTGGAATAGGGAATAACAAAACAAAGTGAGATAAAGCTAAACCAGTAACAAACCCTAACATTTCACTGTAGAATTGAGGCTACCAGAGGGGATGGGAGAAGGGAGAGAGGGAAGTGGGGGGCACACTGGACTATGGTGGAGGACTATGGGTATCTTGGTGGTGGGTGTGGTGTGGTAACAACATCTGTAGGGTGTGATCCTATACTTCTGTATCATATACAATGTTGTAAACCAGTGTTACCTCAATTTAAAAAAAATAAAAGGAATGAGAAGGGAGGCAGTATCAGTATCTTTCACAGAATATTATGTGAAAAATAAAGCTTTTGAGTAGAAATTCTGTAAGTTACGGGGAGACCAATCCGAAAGCAGTGTGAAGTGGCAACTTGACCATGGAGGAAGTGGACCAAAGTTTGCTCCAAACGGTAGGAAACTTGCTAATGACCCTCAAAGTCTCTACCGTGTGTAAATTCTATTGTGCAGGAGCTCACAGGCCCATGTAGACCCGGTAGCTCCTGCATACTGTTATAGTTTGCCATAGAATCATCATCGTTGACCCCGATATTACAGATATGTTAATCCTTGCTTTTCATATCTGGCTGGTCTTATATAGGCTAACTCCAGAAAGATCTTGATTTTAAAAAATCACTAAAATAAATATGATGGAAACTTAACAAAATAAGCCAGTTACTAGAAAATTTGACTTATCAAATCACCTCACTCTCCAGAGATAACCTGAACAATTACATGGTGTGCTGTGCATTAATTAAATGCACTGCCTTTAAATTATGCAAACATTGAAATAGATGGGCCACTGTGTATTTGTTCAATGATTTGCATGAAGTATGTGCAGTTCATGCATATCAAAAATTATCTCTCTACCCTTGAGAAAACTTAAAATGTCATTGTTGCTCCACTTGAAGTTGCAAATTCAGAATATTTTTTTCTACTTTAAACCCACTGTGTTTGGTCTAAAATTTTCTCATATCAGTAAAATAGGAAGGAGTACAGGAACTCAGGTGAAAAAAAAAAAAAAAGTGGGGATGAAGTTGAGAGCACATTTCCTGCCAAAGCTGGCTCTTCATATTGTGATCTAAAACCAAAATGTGGTTAGTAGGCCAGTAGCATCAGCAGCACCTGTGAGCTTCTTAGAAATGCAGAACCTCAAGCCCCACCCCAAACCTACTGGACTAAATTCTGCATGTTAGCAAGATCTTCAGGTGGCGTATATGCTCAGTATAGTTTGAGCAGCACTACTCTGAAGAGTCCATCCTTGTAATTTTGCTTAGCCTATACATACATTTTTCAGATGTTTCTTTTTTTGTCCCCTCAGAGACATGTTCAGAGTCACATTAAATATGGGAATGACTTGTTTTTTGGTTGAGTTCACTTAAAGCTATAGAAAACAAGAACACATTGAGCAAGGTATATAAATCAAGCATCTACTCCCTGATCTTTAAATCTTAGCATGACATAGTACAAAAGTAGAACGTCAGGCATTTGAAAGTTAGGTAACTTGCCCATTCTCTCTTTTTTTTTTTTCTTTCTGTAATCCTCTCATCTTGCTTGTCCTGAGAATAAAGAATTAAATCCTCAGAAAGAGTTATGTATTAGGTCTGGAGGTGAGAGCAATGATTGCCATCCAGCCCAAACTTCAAAGAGTCTTACTGTGTCCTGCTGGGTCAGGGAACTCTCCAAGCTACTTCTGCCTGTGTGTGGGTGCCCTCCCAGCATTAACATCCTCAACAGCAGGGCATCACTTGCCAGCCTGCTCACACGCTCTGTATTTCCCTACCCCTGTTCTATCAACCTGATTTTTTCAGAACCTTCTCTATGGATTTAATAAGATTAAAAATCAATGCATTATATTTGTATTTTAATTATTACTCATTAATAACATTGATTTCCTAATTTCATTATTATCTCTGAATTCATTTTGGGTTAGAGATTACACTCACAAAAGACGTTTCTTTAGAAGGAAGGCAGAGAGTGAAGGTAGGATAACAGGCATGTGTGTCTGTTTACATCTCACAACTTCATCCCAGAACTTCTTTATCAAACTGAAACAAGTAATCGGGGTCAGAATTAGTAATCTCTAGATCTGTTCTGAGATTGGCCTTCAAGGTCTTTGCTTATTTATTCCCTCAGGAATAACCAAAGTTATGTTGGCTCAGCCAATACTCTGAAAGCCTTGTTACAGGACACAAAATTTTAATGAAAAGAATTTGGGCAGAAGTTCTTTGCCTTATAAATAAAAGATGCAATCTTTGTGTTTGCTGTAAATCTGATCTGTTTCTATGGAAAATTGGGCCCTTATAAAAATGGAATCAGCAGAAAAGGAAATAGGGCGGTAATGACTTGGTGTCATTTATCAAATCTGCATTTACTTTTGGCACAGTTGATGCAAAGAATCTCAGAAATATTTTTCTGAGTAATTTTTATTGGCCTGTCTCTGAGTCTGACTTTACCTCACTACTGCCATGTTTTCTGAAGTTTTGTGCATCCTTACAGTAAGATGGAAATATTAATCATCAGCTTTTTAGAAAAGGAGGAGGAGAAGGAAAATAGAGAAACATCAAATGAAATTTGGGTTTGAACAGAAGCAATTATGTAGCAATTTATTACTAAACTCTCCCAAAATGGATCAGAATACAGCTGATGTGCTAAAATGAAATCTGTGATGTAATAAGCATAATCTTTCCCAGCAGAACTCAAGTCATGGGGCCTCAGGTTTGCAAAGAGGTTCAAAATAATTTAAGCCAATCCCCTTCCTCAGTGCTTTAATACCCTCTTCGCACCACCTGCTCCAGACAAATAAACTGCCATTTTAACCCTGAGCAAGGGCCTGCCAAGAGAAAACACAAAAACTGCTACTTCTTTCAGTTAACCTGTGATTCTCTTCACAATTATTAGAGCTTGTGTTTTTATATTAAAGTCAGATCTATTTTTCTTGTGTTCTTTAATTCATTCCTCTGTGCTAGGCACAGACAGGTATAGCACTACCAAGTTAAACACTGTCCACTATCTCTCAGAATTCATCACATAGCAGGGCCAACTTGACTTCACAATTAGAAATAGCGATGGTGCCTGACAGAGTGAGTCCTGTGGAAAACAGCGATCAGGAGCTCACAGTCTAGAGGCCAAGGAAGGCCTCCAGGAGGAAGTGATATTTCCTGATGGATGAGGAGTAGTTAGCCAGGTCTGCTTAATTCTTCCTTCTTGGGGCCATGAAAGATAGACTTAAAGCCTTTCCAAATGACAGCCCCCAAGATATTTGAAGACAAGCTTTCTGTGTCCCGTCTTTTATATACTAATGTTCTATTGCTATTATTTTTTTTTTAAAGATTTTTTTATTTTATACAAGAACCGGGGTTCAGGCCAGATGCGCAGGTGAGTAATAGGATTCATGGGAGACAGAGCGGGGAACAGAACAGGCAGACTGACGAAATACACTGCTGAGGGGAGCAGTGGGCAAGACAGGAGAGGTCTGCCGCGCGCCATTTGGGACCCTCACTGCCGGCCAGCCGGGATCGAACCAGCACTGCAGAGGCTGCTGACAGCTTGACAGCGCGGCGCTCAACCGCCTGCGCCACCAGGGGAGGCCCACTATTGCTATTCTTTATTTGACATGACCTTAAAGAGGTCCACCATTTTAACATTAATACTTCATAAAGTTTATCACCTAGAAACAAAAATTCCAGGTGATACCTAAATGGCCTTGAATAAAATGAGGCCATCATCTCTTTTAAGTTGTTCTACTGATGCAGCTGAATATATTAGCTCTCAGTAAGCATATTATGGACCCTCAGTGTCTTCATTACCAATTAAAATTCTAAATGAAAGGATTTTATTCTTTTTTCTTTTGTTCTTGTTAAGCCACACCTCTCAAATTTTTTTTCTCCCCTGAGTGCTTTTGGACTCTAGTGTAAAGTCATACATTTATTCCTGTTAAGTTTTATCACCTTATTAGGTCCATCCTTTCAGATTATCAGGACCTTTTGGGAAATCTAAATGTTGACTTCCAACTAATGTGCTTTTTCCAAATATGTAAAGTTTGACCATTAATTTTTATGTGATTTCATTCACACCCTCTTGCACAGAACAGGGAAACCAAGCCTTTCCCCCTCTATTAATGACATCCACTGACGTATAACTAGGGCACTGGATGGACAATTAACCAATTACAGTCTTTCCAATTATGTTGTTACCTATCAATTTCTCAGTTTGTGTGTAATGTTGAAAGTGAGAGGTAATACTTGTTAGGTGCACAGTTTCTTTAAAAATTAGATAATGTTTTTTGGCCTGGCTTGGTCTGCTATGAGAAATACCATAAATAGGTTGCTTATGAACACCATCAATTTATTCCTTGCATATTTGGACACTGGGAATCCAAGATCAAGATGCTAGTGTGGTCAGCCTCTGGTGAGAGCCGCCTCTGGCTTGCTGTCAACTCTTCCTTGTTTCGTCATGTGTTAGTGAGAGTGAGCTTGCTTTCTGACCTCTTCTTACTCATTACTCCACCCGCAGGACCTAATTATATCCCAAAGGCCCCAGTCACCTGGGGAATTAGGTTTTGAATTATGAACTCATGGAGCCATTACACCTTAGTAGCTTGGATAGGTGCTTATAGCAAAATTTTGTTT